GTTTGGGCGAAAATGGTAATAAAAGATGCACAGTAGAGGAGTCGTTTTATGAAGTGTAGCTGCTTTCAAAAGGGTCGCAGGCTCGGCACGGGTCTCGGAACCATTTTCGCTCCTTGCTTTGTTGGTGTTTCTCCTTGATAGGCTCGTGTTTTTGAGGGATTTCCCCCCTCTCTGCAAGGTCGAGTTGCTCCAGATGGAAAAAGGATGCCGGTGCTGATCTCGTCCGTTGGATGAAGTATGGGTAGCCCAAATGGTCCATGTAGTCTCAGAGTTACCATAAATCCACATAATGTGATGATGCGGACGTGCGTGGCCTGTGCAAAAATGGTGGTCATCTGTATGTCTGCTGTTGAGCAATCCATCCGGGCACTCGTGCTGTCAGCAGCCACCATGACAAGCGTGCTCATGACACCTGTCGACCCGTATCCTCTCCCATGCCGCTGTCCACCGTATCTTTCACCGGTGTGTGCTGATGAGCGCATGTACTTGAACGATTGCATTGCAAAGTGCAAGGGGCAGACAACATGGGCTCCGTGTTTGGACCGCTTTCATAGGAGCTCGAGACAGTTCCCAAGGCTGGCAACATGTGCGTCTACTTCATTGAAATCAAAAAGAGATGGTATGAGAAATGGGTTGGAGTCAGTTCGTGGCCCGGATGTGCTGCTGCTTGCACCCAACGACATGCCACCAAGACCTTGAACGCCTCTGCGAGAAAGGCTTTGACGCTCCTACAGAGGTGCTGGGTGCGCCTGCGACAGATCGGTTGATCTGTCCACAGTGGACCGGGCCCCTGGTCACGATTCACTTTGCTGGAAAAGACTCGAGTGAACACCGTGACAGATGTTCACGAGATGCCAAAGTCCCAGAGAGGCCGGCCCCCCTTGCGGACAGCGGTCAGATGCATATGCCTCAAAGGCCAGTCGAGTCGAACGTGGTGCACATTGATACAGTAACATCGATGGGAAGTCTTGCTTGGTCTGCATACACACCACTCTCAAAGGGGGCAGTCACGTGCAGTGACAAGAGTTGTGCCTTCAAATAATTTGTGGCCTGTATACTACAGACATGGCATCAGAGCAGACCCCCCTCGTCGCACCTGGCACACGTGCATTTGTCAGGGAAGTGGAGGATTTTGGGACCGTTCAAAGGACCAACCTGCTGGGCCTATCCAACACGCCTGTGGTCGTTCTAGACGACGGGAGCGCAAGGGCCTATGCAGGGCAGCGGAGGGCTCAGGTCGTCAACCCGGAGCTGAAGAAGGACGTCTTGGGCAACTCGTTTGAAGACATCCCTCTCGACGTCTTCTCAGTTGGAGAGCAGCAGCTGACGGTTTTTGGGGTGCCTGCCGAAAAGCAGAGGGTAATCTTTGCCAAATGGAGGGGCCTGCCCGCAGATCAGAAGCAGGCGTTCATCGCTCAGTGGGAAGAGGTTGACGAGGACAACCAGGCGGAGCTGAACGCCTTCCTTCAGCAGATGGTCGACCACCTTTCTTGAGCATGTGTATTGAGCAATGGGTAGACGGCCCCCCGCAAAATCAATATTGGAGAGGCACCGCGTCAGAGTGACTGGAGATGAGGGCTCGCGCATTGTCCTACTAGGCCACGGTTTTGGGACGGACAGGAGCGTCTGGAGGGAGCTCGAGCCGCTCCTGGTGCGCCGGGGATTCCAGGTCGTCAGCTACAACCTCACCTACGTGGGCACCGTGAGCGACGCCTTCGATCTCAATGACGCGGGGCTAAGCGCCGCATTCCAGCGCTTCGAGAAGAGGCACATGAAACGGCCTCTCCTTGGCTGCTTCCGTTCCGCAAGAAGCCGCGGGAGCAGGGCGTTCGATTTCAAGCGGTACCGGACAATAGACGCGTACGCGAGCGATCTCCTTGACATTGCAGACGCCCTCGGAATCAAGACCTGCGCCTTCGTGGGCCATTCCGTCTCCGGGATGATCGGCCTTCTGGCAAGCGTGACACGGCCGCACCTCTTTGAAAGGATCGTGCTTCTTGCATCCTCACCTAGGTACCTCAATGATCCGAAGGAGGGCTACGTCGGTGGCTTTTCAGAGAACGACCTGAGGGGGCTCTTCTCATCGATGGAGAGAGGCTACACAGACTGGGCAAAGGGCTTCGCCCCCGTTGCAATTGGGGAGCCAAACCAGCCGGCAATCCGCAAGTTCACGGAGGGGCTCCTGCACATCCGGCCCGATGTCGCTCTCGCCACTTGCAGCATGATCTTCAGGATCGACTTGCGTCACATACTGCCGGAAGTGCACCCGCCTTGCATGATCCTGCAGAGCCAGAACGACGTTGCCGTTCCACTCGAGGTTGCCCAATTCATGGCAAGAGCGATTCGCAATTCGGAATTGGAAGTACTGCCCACAAGCGGCCACCTGCCGCACTTGTCAGCATCGCTGATCGTGAATTCATTCATCGTCAAAGCCCTGACTTGTGAGAGAGAGTGTAGGTGATTTTACCTTTGTCTTGTAGTACATGGCATACTTGCAAGCAGATCCGATTGGGCTGATAAGACACGGTCTTGAGCTGATTGCTTCAGTGCATGTCCCCGATGCAGAATGCAAACTAAGCATTGTGACTCTGCAGAAGGACGGTGCTGAGTTTGAATTCTTGAGATATACAGGCAATCAGACGTTTGTTCTTGAAAAGGGTCATCAGGGGAGCAACCGAAACAACAAGAGAGCTCTGTCCATCTCAGAAGCAGTGCGTTATTTCCTTCCAAAGGCACCCCTGATAGCGGAGATCATATTGCGCCAGAATCGCCAGGGCGAGGAAGAGTCAGACTTTCCACTGCTGTTGATTCCTGGATATCTCATGGACGATGACACAATCGAACATATCGTCAACCAGAAACCTCGCCTGCACAACAACATTCGGTTGATGCCCTCTGGAGGTCCACTTCGGCGCATCTCGAACAATTCAAGGCCTCGCAACAGCGCGCCGTATCGAGGAGCGGGGGTCAACTATAACAAAGCCAAAAATAACTTCAACAGAGTCCGAAGTGATTACTAGTAGCTTGGTTGTCTTACTGCGGTTTTCGCAGGTTGAGCAGAAGGCCGGGGGGGAACTCGGTGAAGCGGATTCCCCACCGTTTGGCGAGGAGGGATAGAACGGACTGGTCATGGCGGTGCTCTTTGAAGCCCGAACAGTCCGGCAACGAGCTCGGACAGTCACTGATCAGGCGATAGTCCGTGCAGTATGTCAGCCACGCAGAGACAAAGCGGATCGTGAACAGGCTCTTGCGAAGCACTAAGAAGCCGCCCCACACCTGCGGCGTCTTGGATGCATGCTCAAAGTTCACGCCCATGATGTGATATGAATCCATCTTTGTCCACTCCAGCTCGGAAAAGGATCCCTCGTTGGGCTTGTTGCGAGCCAGCCCAATGCTGCTGTCCTTCAGCCATTCATCAATGTATGGGCGGAAGTTGCGCCGAAACAGGTACAGAGAATCGCAGTAGCACAGCACGTCTCCTTCTTGCATTGAGAGGAGAGTCTTCAGGATCACATAAGGCTTGTACAGCCACAGGCCGCCTCCCCTCTTGGCAGACAGTATGTTGCGGTTTTCTATGCAGAACAAAGGGTCCAGGTCGGCCTTGGTGGCCAACCTCGAGCAGTCAAATCTGCCTGGTTCAATTGCACTCTTCACTAGCTCACGGGCTCGTGACAGGTAAGGTTCTCCGTCAGCATAGGACAGGAAGGTATACATGCGCCTATCAAGTGCTACGCTTTCTTGACGGAGACATCTGCCGCGGGAAACCTCCTGAGCAGGCACTGCTGAAACTCTTCTGTCTGACAGACTGCTTCGGGCGCATCTTGCAGGATCTCGAGCTCGGTCCTCCCTTGCATCCACCTGGCCAGCGCGCGGGCCTGGTTCTCCCCATCGAGGCAGCCCATGCGTGACCTGTAGAACTCGCGGATCTCGACAGCATCCAGAAGGGGGGCGAGCTGTCCGGAGAAGCGCACGTAGCGTCGACAGGCACAGAGACTCGTGGAATAGGTGTTGAAGACGACCCCCCTTGCCTTCAGCCCCTCACTCAGGGCCACGTGCCTTGCCAACTCGTCCACGATGCGCCCTCTGTCCATAAGGCCCTTTTCAAACAACTGGAAGGACATCACGCACAGAGGCACGTCCTCCAGCTTGAGCCCCCCCTCTGACAGCAAGGAGGATATGTCTTCTCTGCGCTCCCTGATGTTTGTTGCCCTCCTGAACACGCCCTCCAGTGTCCCTCGGTTCCTGACCACGTAGTTCTCTACGGCGTCGGCAACCAGGCCACGCACCCCCTCGTCAAATGACTTGAGTGCTTCGCCAACCTGCTCACGACGCGCGACCCCCTTCTGGAAGGCGGTGCTGGCCCTCTTGCTTGCCCTCTCGCTGCACCTCCAGACGTGCTCCCTGTAGAGCTCCACGCTGCCATACTTTGCTAGGGCGGCTCTGAGCAGGTCGGCAAAATCATAGTGCCTGATGAGGAACACTTGAGTGTCGTGCTGCCGCACCCGTTGCTTGGCAGGCTGCAGTAGCTGGAGATCAGACTCGTGAAGCTTGAAGAGCTGCTTTGCAGCTGAAGCAGCAAATCTTCCACCTTTGACCCTGTGGAAGCGGCTGATCAACCAAGCAGCCTCGTCCCAGCGGCAAGGGTCGGAAAGACCCAGCAACTTCTTGAGTAGCGCATGCCAGCAGGAATCCCGAGCAACCTCCTTCCACTCCTTGCACACGGCTTCGGACCTGCACAGATCCTGCACCTGGCTGTCCTCGTCCGTCGCCACCTTGTTGAGAATGATGCTCAGCACCTCGGAGGGAAGGGCGCTCACGTGCCCCATGCTTGTCCTGTTTGAGGCCTGCCATCGAAAGGAAAGCTTCTTGATTACTCAAACATGGTGGCGCACGGTGGTATCTGATGGTACTAGGCTGGCAGCTCCTCTTGTGGTGCTCGGCATTCTCTCAAGGCCTTCTGGGCTGCAATCGTGCAATTTTGTGCAGGGTTGGGGGATTGAAGTTCGGCTCGCGCAGCCCGAGCTCCGTCCATTGCGGCGCTATGCGCCCGGCGCGCGCGTAGAGCCGCAGGTTACCTTAGGGTATCTTGGGGTGAGCGGTGGTTCCATTGAGTGAGCTAGAGTCACCCGGGGGTGTCCTTAAGTGATCGACGACTTACCTGTGGGCGTCTCCGGGCGATCGACGGTGATTTGAAGGATCGCGACTCACCTGCCGGTATCCCAAAGAGATCGACGGCTCACCCGTGCGTGTCCTGGGGGGATCGACGGCAAACCGACGCTGTCTTTGGGTGATCCGACTCACCTGCGGGTATAGCCAGGTGAGCGACGGTGCATGTAGGTGATGAATAGTGACTGAGAGCCTTGTGTGGCTTCAAGGGCATAGCTTCATGGGCCAGGAAAGAGGCTCACACAGGAGACATGCCCATTCACTGGCACTCAAACAAAACAGCTTTTCAGGTTTGCCCGTCTCACCTCAAGATGAATCCTACAAGAGGGCGCAAGCGTAAGGCCAGTATTCCGCTCAAGATCACTGCGGGAAACTCAGGCGCCATCGATGTAGAGGCCAACACAGCCAGCAATGCTCCCTCTGAAGATGTCTTGAAGGGTGGCGGGTATGTGTTCTCTAAGCAAAGCGTCGTGTCGGTACTGCAAGACCTGGAATGCGCTGTCTGTAAGGACATTCAAGGGGAAGAGGTTGTGCGCTCTTGCTGTGCCAATGCGCAATGCACCGTCATCAACTATATCTGCAAGAAGCACACAGAAGGGCCTGCGGTCCTCAATCAAAACAGGTGCTTGATGTGCCAGACGACAGGTGTCACTTACGATCCAGATAAGGCGGTGTCCCGGCTGCTGAGCTCTGTCTTTGTCGACTGTCCCAAGGAGGGGTGCTCGACAAGGATGACTGCATCGCAGCTGAAGCAACATCTGGAGAGAGAGTGCGAGAAGAATGTCATCAAGTGCGGGGAAACCAGGGTGCGACCTCTGGTGAGGGCTTTATCTTCCTGCTGTGTGAATTGTTCTGCTATGTTCTCTGCTCGTGTCAGCGGCAGTTGTTTTGTTGCAGGGGTGGGCATCGGCCAGATCCTATGCTGTGTTTCGCATAAAGTCAGAGTTCTTTGCTGATTCCTGCTGATTCAACCCTCTCAGGTATGCCCAGAAGGCTTCTCAGGACCATGCTGCGGACTGCCGGTCGCGCAAGTGCTTCAACCACATTGAAGATCCAGAGCTGGGCAGCTTTGGTTGTACGTGGGAGGGCAATGTCGTGGATCTCCCTAACCACGACTGTGAGCTACCTGAACTGTCCTACAACATTCTGGAGGAAGTGCTTGACAGAGCAAGGGACCGGATGAGTGACATCATCCAAGAGGTCTGGAAGTGGCAGGAAAATGCATGGGATGCTAGAGCAGGACCTACAGGGCCCATGTGGCGTCCTGCCGCACACTTACGTTATGAGGATGGAGGTTACTATAGTGCTTTGAAGTAGGATTCTGCACTAGTTGAAAGACCTTGTAAATAGAGGTTTGTTCAATCCATCTCAACCGGCTCTGCCCATAGTTCCTGTGTAGATATATGTCGCAGTGTTGCATGGATGTCCTGCTGCTTGTATCGGCATTGCTTGTCAGCTTGGTGCTAGTGCTCCTCCCTAAATCAAGAACCGTCTTCTATACTCCAGACGAGGCCAGGCGACTCTTTTGCAGCCACAGCGTGCAAGAACTGATCAATTCCTACAAACCCATTGAATGTCTTGCAAGGAGCGGTGGGCGAGCCTCGTCTCCCGGACAAATGTCCCGGCAATATATGCTGGCAGTCCGCAACTTCTCTGCGGACGAAAGGTCGCGCCTGCGTTCCATCATCAATAGTAGCCCGAGATTGAGGGCACGCGCCTGGAAGTTTGTCAAGGTTGCAAGCTTCATGGACTTTGCATTCCCCTACACCTTGAATGATGTTGTTGTGCTCCCATCGTCCTTCCTTGCTCAGCATGACGAGAGCGAGGCTGCAGTCACCTTGTTACACGAGTCCTTTCATATCGACCAGCGGGCCCACCAGCCCAAGTTTGATAAGTTTTACGAGAGGAAATGGGGATATGTCCGGCCCAAACGGCTCACGATACCGGGCAGCATCTGGAAGCGCACAGTGACTGATCCGGACGCGCCCGACATCAAGTGGGTGAAGGCAATGAACGGAGCCTACTGGTGGACAGTGCTTCACCTGCCTGATGAGAGGAGCCGTCCGATAGCTGTTGCATACATGTGCAAGCAGACACGGCCCGGCCACTTTGTGGTCACACGCGAGCGGAGACCTCTGACATCGTTGAAGGAGTATGTGACGATTCGAGTCTATGAATCTTCATATCGAACTCGTCCCAGTATCCGCGCGCGTATGGCGTATCTGCTATCTGCTTTGCTCGATATCGTATACTGAGTCGCGCACTTATCCG